GCCATGGGGAAACAGGCTCGTCTCCTGGGACTGGATCCGTGAGGCAGGAGTGGGGGCCATGTACTGGCCTGCGGGGCTGGACCCCCTTGTTTGCACTTGCTAGGGCTCTGAGTTCCCTGCTGCCCCCACCCCAGGCTCCACCTGCGTGAGGCTGGGCTCAAGCATTGCCCGTGTGTGGGGGAAAGCACGAGTGTGATTTGGGTGGGAGCAGACATGGGGAAGCAGGCCCCTGCTCCCTGTGAGTGCTGCTTTGCTGCGGCTGAGGCCAGGTGCCTGGGGACCATCCTTTCTATGCTGGAGGGAGCTGAGGCTCAGGCAGGGCTGTCCCGGGACTGGCTCTGAGGTGTTTCAGCTTCCCCTTCCTCCCCCCATGGTTTCAAGTCATCACTGTGAAAATACTGCACAGCTTCTGCTTGAGTTTTACCAAGCCAGGCAACCAAACACCTCCCATCCTGGGAAAAGAAAAGAAAAGAAAGGAAAAACTCTTGGCTGTCAGGGATCAACTGAGCAACTCCTCACCTGAAGGATCTCTGCCAGGAAGGATCTGGAGGGACACTCTGCATTTCAGTATGGATCCAGGAAGAGGCAATTGCCATTTACACCAGACTAACATATCTGCAAAGGGCCAACCAGAGTACGGTGCAGGTTCATCCTAGAAAACTGATCCACTCTTTATCTGCAGACTCAGAGTCTTTGCCTGCACCCGTCAGCCTGGCACATGAAGGGCATGCGTCCTTACAGCCCACCCCCGGGCTGCCCGTACACTATTGCGGGTCTCCTCCACTCCATCTGCCTCAGCACATTTATTCTGGTGTGAACCTGACAGGCTTCAGTGTCCAAAAGTAGGTGCAGGGAGAAGAAAACACCAGGTTTAGAGAAATCCGCTTGTGGAAGAGAAGGGCAGGGGCATTTGGACATCCACAGAAAGGGGCTGCAGAAAAGGAGGTGCTGTCCTACAAACCACTCAGGAACTACGAGCCGTCAGGTGAACAGTGAATAAGTACACGGTGAATTACAGGCGTTGTTCCCCCGACGCACATCCAGGAAGGCGGGCAGGGATATGCTCTCCAGCCCAGCCCAGGGGAGCTTCGG